CAGGCCAGCAGTGAAGCTGTAGGGCAGGGGTGGGCAAACTTTTTGACTCGAGGGCCACAATGGGTTCTTAAACTGGACCGGAGGGCCGGAACAAAAGCACGGATGCAGTGTGAACTAATATAAATTCAGAGTAAACATCATTACATAAAAGGGTACGGTCTTTTTTTTTCAATAGTTTTATTCAATTCAAATGTGCCGTATCCAGCCCGAGGGCCATAGTTTGCCCACGGCTGGCTTAGAGTGTTGATTGGCACGTCGAAAGGTGGCTGGTTTGATCCCAGGCAAGGGCATGTACCTGGATTGCAGGTTGGGGTGCTGCCAGAGGCAACAAATTTCACATCCATGTTCTCTCTCTCTCCCCGACTCTACAATCTATAAAAATCAATGGTTCAGGAAATACCCTTGAGTGAGAATTAACAACAACAAAAAAATAGTAAACAAGTTGTATTGCATCTGAGTTTATAAAACTTTTATCAGTCATTTCTGTTGGTATTTCTTTAAGAAACATTTCTTTTTCTTAGTCTGATTTTTACTTAAAACACTGATGTGTATTTTGGCATTGAATTCTAAGTGTAAACAATAACAATAGCAGTATAACAGTTAATAAAATAGTAGCTGTAACACTATTTTATAGAGTTTAGAATGTTTAAGTACTTTGATTATGTCACATGAATGTAATTAGACTTATAGAACCCACTTAATTATTGAATTATTGTCTTACTGTACTTTTGAGGAAATTTTGTAAACACTTTCTTCAAAATCTTGTTTTGTTGATTATTCTATACTTAGTAGCTTATTTTAGAGAAAGATCTTGAGTGTATCATTGATTAATCTATGCTATACTTAGTAGCTTATTTTACAACTAGAGGCCCAGTGCATGAAATTCATGCACTGGTGTGTGTGTGTGTGTGTGTGTGTGTGTGTGTGTGTGTGTGTGGTCTTCAGCCTGGCCACAAGAATCAGTCCATCCAGCAGTCAGACATCCCCCGAGGGGTTTCAGACTGCAAGAGAGCTCAGGCTGGGCTGAGGGATTCCCTACCTCCCCTGTGCATGAATTTCATGCATCGGACCTCTAGTTATATAGATAAGACCTTGAGTATGTTCATTAAAATTTAAATAAACCATTTGTTTTGATACCTGCATGATAGTTATACTTCAAATTCTATTACAATGTATTTTGTGCAGAATTTTATTTTATTTTTTTATAGTTTACTTATTTTCAGTAGTATTTGTTAAATTTTCACTTTATATTGGCAGGCATTATCTCAATTTGGGGGTTTACAGATTTCTAGCTTATTTTGCTAGGTGCAAAAGCTGTCTAAGAATGAAGTGCTTATGGTGAACATAGGATCCCTGTTGACAGGAAGCAGAGTTAGTGCAGTCAAGGCTGATTTGGGCAAAATTGTTCTCACAGCTCCTAGGGCACTTGAAAGAGAAAATGAACAAATGGGATTACATCAAAATAAAAAGGTTCTGCACAGCAAAAGAAACCATCAACAAAACAACGAGAAAACCCACTGCATGGGAAAACATATTTGCCAATGTCACATCTGATAAGGGCCTAATCTCCAACATTTATAGGGAACTCATACAACTAAACAAAAGGAAGATAACAATCCAATCAAATAATGGGCAAAGGACCTAAATAGACACCTTTTAAAAGAGGACATTCAGAAAGCCAAGAGACATATGAAAACATGCTCAAAGTCGCTAATCATCTGAGAGATGCAAATCAAAACAACAATGAGGTACCAGCTCACACCTGTCAGAATGGCTATCATCAACAAATAAAAAAAAAAAAACAGTGGTTAGCAGCACAATTCACCATAGCTAAGATCTGGAAACAGCCTAAGTACCCATCAGTAGATGAATGGATTAGAAAACTGTGGTACATCTACATGATGGAATACTATGCTGCTCTAAAAAGGAAGGAACTCTTACCATTTGCAACATCATGGATGGAACTGGAGAGCATTATGCTAAGTGAAATAAGCCAGTCAATGAAGGAAAAATACCACATGATCTCACTCATTCATGGATAATAGAGACCATTATAAACTTATGAACAAAAATAGTTACAGAGGCAGAGCTGCCTATACAGACTGTCAAAGTGCAACGGAATAGCAGGGGAGATTAGGAGGGCAAGAGGTGGGGGTGGGTAAGAGATCAACCAAAGGAGTTATGTGCATGCATATAAGCATAACCAATGGACATAAGGCATTGGGGGGTCGGGGAGGCCAGGGGATTGTCAAGGGTGGCAAATAAAAAAAAGGACACATATGTAATACCCTTTGTAATACTTTAAGCAATAAAAAAATTAAAGAAAACCAGTTCCTTTTTACCCCATATATTATATTGCATTCTCTAAAATCTAGGGCAAAAATTAATAGGTTTAAATTAAATTAAACTTTAGATCAGGAGTTTTCACTTACATGGACAAACTTCTGTTTCCTAGACTGGAACACAGGAAGCTCAAAACAGTTTTTGTGTCTTAGCCAGTTTTTCTCAGTGGATAGAATGTCACTCTGTGGACCAAAGGTTCCTGGGTTCAATTTCGGTCAAGTGCCTGGACCCTGGACCCTGGTTGGTGCTCATGCAGGAGGCAACCAGCCAATGTGCTTCTCTCACATTGATGTTTCTCTCTGTCATTCCTTTCTCTCCACTCTCTCTAAAAGTCAATGGGGAAATATCCTCAGGTGAGGATTAAAAAAAAAAAAAAAGATAAAGGGGATAAATGGTTTAAAACAAAAGCAAAACAATTTTACTCTGTCCTGATGATGCTTTATACCTTAAAAAAAGTGCTTTTATTGATTTTAGAGGAGGACTATTTTTATTTTTTTCTTATTGGAGAGAGGTACAGAGAGAAACATCAGTGTGAGCAAGAAATATCGATCGGTTGCGTCCTGTATACACCGTGACTGGCAGTTGAACCAGCAACCTTTTGGTGCATAGGACTGTCCTCAACCAATTGAGCCACATCAGCCAGGGCCATACTTATTTTTCACTGTTTTCCTGAAACCCAACAGTTTTCCCTTTGGAAAATACAGTTTTACCAAATAATTCTAGATAAGTAATAAGGATCTATCTGGGCTTCCTTTATATTGTATCTTAACTGTTCAATCAACATAGTTATAATGTAGATTCTAATAGTAGCAATTTTTTCCCACTATCAAGTTGCAAGTACTTTTGTCTTTGTTCTTAAATACTTGAAATTATTAATGTCACTATTGCCATATTAATTATTTTACCTACATCTGGAGAAAATAGGACGTTATAGAACACAAGATACTTATATTATAAGCATTTGCCAAGAGAAGTAAATTATAATTAAACTAGAGGCCTGGTGCACAAAATTTGTGCATGGGGTGGAAGGGAGGGGGGTGTCCTTCAGCCTGGCCTGCACCCTCTCCAATCTGGGACCCCTCAGGGGATGTCCGACTGTTGGTTTAGGCCTGATCCCGCAGTCAGACATCCCTCTCATAATCCAGGACTGCTGTCTCCTAACCATTTGCCTGTCTGCCTGATTGTCCTAACTACTTCTGCCTGCCAGTCTGATCACCTCCTAACTGCTCCCCTGCCGGCCCGATTGGTGCCTAACTGCTCCCCTTATCGCCCCCAACTGCCCTCCCCTGCTGGCCTGATCGCCCCTTAACTGTTCCTCCCCTGCCAGCCCAATTGCCCCCAACTCTCCCTCCCCTGTGAGCCCAAATGACCTCTAACCCTCCTCTCCTGCTGGCCCAATTACCCTCAACTTCCTTCCCCTGCCACGACCCGTCTCCTCCACTGGGACCGGCCTCTGCACCATACGGAGCTGCAGGACACCCAGGTCTCAGTGTGCAGAGCGGCCGCCAGGCCCCACCTCCACTGTGCGTGTGGCCATCTTGTGACGACATCATGAGGACCACCTAGGGTTTTATTAGTATAGATTTAATGATGTGTTTTTCTTAGCCCTTATATATTGATTGACTGAATCAACTCACAATTGACTTGCTCATTAACCAGTTTACAATAATAACATATATTTAAAAATGGATATTTTGTTATACAATGGACTCTCCCACTATTTTGGAGGACTCATCAGTTTTCCTTTGTGGTTCTATCAGTCTTTGCTATAAGTAAAGTTGAGTACAGGGTGAGCTGGCTGAACTTTGTTTTTTATCATCATGAAGAAATGTCTAAAACCATCTTTGGCTATGCATCTGCTATTGGTATAGCTATACCAGCATTACTGATTAATATTTCTAGCATATATTTTCATCTTTGGCTTTTGGTTACAACTATAATTTTAGCCACAAATTATATTTTTTAGTTGTGTGGAAGGTTGTTTTTTTCTACAGTTAACTAAAATAAAACTTTTTTTTTTCTTTTAAGATCTTTTAAGATGTAATCTCTTAGCAAGTTTCAAATATACAGTACAGTATTTTTAAATATAATCATCCTGTTGAACATTAAATCCAAAAGGGATTCATGCCAAGACATCATAGAGAGTTTCTATCAGATTCACTCGAGAAATAAGAGTTGACTTTCCCTAATAGCTTAAGTATAAAATAAAACTTATGATGTGTCATTGGTTATTATCAAATCACATAGATGCCACAAATCATAAATTTTCTATTTGAAGTAAAACTTAGACCACAATAAAAACTGGGAGAACATTTAGAATGTAAAAAAAAAAATCTTTCAAAAAATGTAATAATTCTTTTGAATTTAGTTTTATCTAAAAATCTTTGTGTGGAACATGAAGAATGGGAAGTAAAAGATTTACTGTTCACTCTGATTTTTTAAAGCCATATAGGATCTAAATCTTCAAAAAAAAAGGAATGGGTGGTTGGGGACTATAGGGATTAATTTCAAAGGATAAGCAGGTGTGAAAAAAGACACTAGCTTTTCCTGCCTTAATAGCTCCTGCTTGAAAAATCATGAATATATTTAAAGTACTATTTTGGGTGATGCTTTCTTCTGTATAGTCTTTGTCATGGGTGGCCTGTTTCTGACACTGCAACCATCCTTTAGGGCTCATATGGGTAAAGAAGTGAACTGAAGATCTCAAAACAAAAGGTTAGTAGATACCATTACTAGTAGTGGTAAGAGTGATGATAACTATTTGGATTCTAAGCATGCAAGTGGTAAAATTTCACCAAGCAGGAACTTTTTATAGAATTTTTCTTTTAACTGATACAAACAAATATAAAACTGGAATTTAGATGTGGTAGTGGGAAGAGTAGAGATAAGAAGCTATACTCTATTGAACTTCCTCTCTACATTCAGGAATGACAATTTAAAATGTGCTTGCTCATATACTATGTGTGCCTAAACTATAGTTAATATTTCTGATTTTTATAGAAAGGGATTTTAGAAACTAGACCACCAACTTACACCATACACAAAAATAAACTCAAAATGGATAAAGGACTTAAATGTGCGATGGGAAACCATAAAAAAATGCCAAAGCAATTTCTTCACTGATACAGCTCATAGGGCACTTGAAACTAAAGAGAAAATAAACAAATGGGACTACATCAAAATAAAAAGCTTCTGCATAGCAAAAGAAACCATCAACAAAGCAATAATAAAGCCCACTGCATGGGAGAACATAGTTGCCAATGCTATTTCCGATAAGGGTTGAATCTCCAAAATTTACTGAGAACTCATACAACTTAATAAAAGGATGATAAACAATCCAATTAAAAAATGAACAAAGGCCCAAAGTGGCCATTT